TGCTGGCAGTCCATGAGTTTGGACTTTGTGTTTGGCCTGCCGAAAGATTCGGCGGGCAGCACGGGTGACGTGGTGTTCGTCAACCGGTCGAGCAAGATGGCTCATTTGGCGGCGGTGCCAGACACGATCGACGGAGTCGGTACAGCAACGCTGTTTGTCGATCGTGATTTTCGACAACATGAACTCCCAGAGTCGATTGTCTCTGATAGAGACCCCTGTTTCACGGGAAACTTTTGGTCGACTATCTTCAATGTACTCGGCATCAAATTAGGTATGTCGACAGCGGATCATCCGCAGACCGATGGTCAAACCGAAAGATGAATCGCGTCATCGAAGACGTTGTTTGCAGCGTCTGCGCTGAGACGCCGAGGCGCTGGAGCGCCATGTTACCACTCGTAGAGCTCGCGCTGAACAATGCAGTTCATTCGTCTACCAGCTACACACCGTTCTACGTGAATGGGCTAGTTCACCCTCGCGTCCCGCTGACGCCGCCTTCCCATGACTCAGGGCTTGGTGGGGGAGGAATAGCCGAACGGCTAGCTGATGTCAGCCCCCTCACTATCCGCAAGGAAGTCGATGACTTCTTGTCTACCAGACTGAGTGTCCTACGACACGTTCGCGATGTGATGGACTGAAAGCCAAGACCTGCAGAAAGAATTTGCAGATGAAAATGGAAGAGGCAAAGTGGAAAGCTTTAAGGTCGGAGACCTGGTTTTATTAATTTCTAAAAACCTGCCTACGCATGCAGCCTCTGCTATCTTCCGGACGAAGCTTCGTCCACAGTTTATTGGACCGTTTAAGGTTGTGGCCAAGCGGGGCCTAGCGTAAACACTAAACCATCCCAAACGAATGCACACCCACCCGATGTTTTACGTGGGTTTGCTCAAGCCGTATCGGGATCCGGCGGATGTGAACGCGGAAGCGTTGGCGCCTGAGCGGATCCCATGGACCATTGGCCACCCAGAAACTGAACCAGCAACTGGTTCTCAGCACGGAGTGCAAGAACCTCCATCTCCAATGGAGCCAAGCGCCCCACCGTTGCCTGCAGCGACGCGTTCGCCTTCTCCACGGCTAGGAGTCGCTCCGAAAAAGCGCGGTAGTTCTCAAGGCGAGGCAGCCGGCGCACGACACGATCCAAATCATCAAGAGCTTCCACACAGCGACATGCCACTTCAGCATGACGCTCGGCGGAGCTCCGGTCACGAAGGATCTCATCATCAAGGGCTTGAAGAGACCGACAGCGGTCGACCCGGTCGTCACCACCCGCCATCGACTCTTCTCGATGAGAATGGTGACGTCCACTATCACGTGGAATGTCTTGTGAGATGACGTCGTCACTAGGGTCAGACCCAGTATCTGGTGAAGTGGCGAAGATATCCCGACTCCGAAAACTCGTGGGAGTTTGAGACGCCACTTTGGCAAGATTGCCCAGACGCCGTGGACGCTTTCGATCAGAAAGATCAGGACGTCCCGCGTCATCAGACGCCCCGCGCTTCACGGCAATAGCCAGGGAGGTAGAAGAGTCATGAGCTGAGCTCAAGCGGTGGTCCTGATCTAGGGCGACAATCGAG